GAAGCTGTGTCTCAGGGCTTCTTAACATTTAAAAACCTATTAATGTGTCACACCCACTTAACGGGAAGAAACTCAGCTAACTGACGATACGAACCATTTTTACCGAAACAAAAACACAAGTCTCACTTATGGCGCATTTCCACTACAGCGCGGTTTAAGCGTGCCGTGCCGTGCCCGGCCCGTTTTTGGTTGCGTTTCCACTTGGCGTAGTACCGGCTAGCGGGTACTATTTCACAGTTTTTCTGGCCCCATAAAATCGAGGTTCTTTCCGGGCTAACAACCTGAGTCGGGCTGAGTATGCTAAACTAGAGAGAGAGAATCGCTGGCAAGGGGGCTACAACTACAACAAGATGAACATATTTGACCGTGATTTAATTGTAATACACGTTTCAAAATGATGCCGAAGTAACAACATACGGATACCGGTTAGTAAAAACCATGAGTTAATGCTTTGACAAGTCTGCAGACAGACGGCAGGCGAAAAACCTTTTAAAATGCGTGTTTTCTAAATGGAGATTGGCTAAGCTAACGCAGTATATGCTCCGACCGTCCACACTCACAACAACGGCCTATACAGACATAAATAAAGCAGCGACTGTATTCACCATGACACAGACAGTCTGTGGTTTGTACTTGTTTAACTTTTGTCTAGTTTCTGAACATATATGAGGAGCTGTGAGCTCTGAGTGCTAACAGCTAACGGCTGTGTTGTTTTTCTGGGGTTCTCATTGAAGATGACGTCACGGCTCCGCCTACACTGCGTTACTATAGTCACTGCCCCAGCTACTAAACTGTAATGGAAACGCAGCATAAAGTGAGCCAGGCCTAACTATACCGTACTAAGCCGAGCGAGGCCCTGCAATGGAAATGCGCTATTAATGAGCCCTGAGCGAAATAATGCTAACACACTTAGCACTGAACTCTAGGTATAAATACCCTTATTGCATATCGGATCTGCACAAACAAGATATTAGCTAGCAAGCTGAGATTCCTCATATTCTAGGCGTATACGTATCATCACTGAGCGAGCCGAACTCGCGACACGGGAAGCAAACACAGACATCACAACACGGAGTGTTACGGAGCAAAAACGGGAAAACAGGCTCAGGGCTTAACAGGTTAAAACTGGACTTCCCCTTGTTGCAGGTTTAAAATGCACAAATTACCATTCATTGAATCACTCAAAATGATATGTATAGGGATAAAAGTACGCCGATCTTGAAGAGGAGATTTTTTTTAAATATGTTGTTATTTGACTTTTCTAAATTCTTAACGTCAGGGAAGTGTTTCTGAGCTGAAGTTCAGATTCAGCCGGAGGAAGCAGACTTTCCTGGAAGTCATGAGGGGGGGGGGGGAAGCAGCAGGTGCATTGTGGGGGAAACCCAACACCTCACTCTCTCTCAGTCTGTAGTTACACTGTTAATGTGCTGTAACACCCCCCCCCCCCTGTAGGGGGTAAGGTACGTTTATTTATAGAGCACATTTTCAGATATAGACGCAATTCAAAGTGCTTTACATCAACATTAACACTTAATAAGAAGACAACAGAAAGGAACACAATAAATAAACAGATTCATAAAAAACAGACATAAAAGAGACGTATAATCAGTGTTCGAAATGGGGGGGAGCCAGGGGGAGCTTGGCTCCCCCGAAGAGGGAGGGAGCTCCCCTGAAGGCCGACTTTGAGATAAATAGGGGGAGCCCAAAACAATCGTGCATATTTGTGTCACACAGATTAGAAATGTTGAGTTTCTGTAGATAACAGTTCTTGAAATAAATAATAGTCATTGTTCATTACAGTTTCTGAATATTTGTTTTATATTTGTGAATATTTCTGGGTGTTGCCATCTGTACGTGGCGGCGCTGCATTCTTTACGCTACTTACGTTGCTATGGTTACGGTGGCGATGCCGGCGCGGTATTTGAAATGTTCATATTGATATATTTTTTTAACTCTGGCTTTGTAATAAAAAATATGGCAAAACGAAAACAGCCAAGCCTCGCAGCTTTTGGATTCACAAGCAAAGAAGCGAAGGAGTCTAAAAATGACAACGTGAACGGAACAACTTTTAGTTGGCCGGCTGTTAGCGGCGTTAGGGTCGAGTTTGACAGCTCCACACCGAGGGAGAGGCCTGCCGATGCGGAGCCTGAAGAGGCTTCAACAACGGCCACAGCCGCCGACGTAGTGACACCGTCTGTAGTGACACCGTCTGTAGTAGTAGCAGAGTGTTTTTATAGCAATTGATCGAATCCGCACTGCTGCGCCAGTTAACAGAGCGTGCGTGTGACATATTTAGTAGCAGGATGTGCACTGAAAAATAGGGCTCCCCCGAAAGCAAATGGGTAATTCGAACACTGCGTATAATAGTTTAAAAACAACATTGTAAATACAGTAGGTGTACAGTAGACAGACAATATATAGTGTAAAAGTTATAAAAACTACAAAAGACCACCCGGGCACGTTTTCTTTTATCAGCAAATTGAAGAATAATACAGGAAAATCCTAAAAAAAAAATTTGATCAAACAAACGGGAATAGTTCATTTGTTGAGGACTGTTTTTTGAATCCACAATTAGTGCTCTTTGTAATATTATTGGCAGCAACACAGTGTGTGTCACCCAGTGTTCATTATTGCTGCGTTGCCCATTGGACGGGGAGATGCTGCCTTCAGGGTCCAACACAAATACAAATACATCATCTTTTCCAGCTTGTTCAGCCGTAGTGCTAATAAGGACCTGGATAACCTCCAGGTAGATCCTGCACAGTTTAAAGTAATGACAGTTGTTGCTTTGTGCAGCGTTTCCCCCCCGAGGCTTCTCATTCAGAGCGAGAGGTTTCCGGAGATAAGATCTGAGGAGCTGCGCTGCTCTCTAATGAAACATCTGTCAGCAGCTGGTTAGCTCAGGCATGTTTTACTGTTTTATATGAAAGTCAATATCCATTTAAACACATCATCGTAGACTCTGAGGAACTGGGATGCGCGTTTTTGCAGCCCTATTTCTAATACCTATGCATACACACGCAGTTATATGGTGTACGGCTGGATAATAATCACTATAATTTACTTTAAAACACATTGTATTTAAAAGGGTCAAAACTCACGATGCTAACACTTACTCTAAACCAGGGCGGGAACTAACCTTCATTTTTGTTATTAATTCATAGCTGAATAAAATGAGGTTAGCTCAGGCAGCGCCGCCACACACACTGAGCGTCTCTGTTGATATAATTATATATATATATAGGAGTCTTTGGCAGTGGTGTCGGAGAGGAGAATGATGACTATAACTCTTCACCCTTCAGTAAAGAGAACTATGTGCAATATAAATACCATCATTACAAAACACTCTCTGCTACATGTGCAATATTAATAATAATGTTGTATAATAACGTGCATTATGTGTCCGTCTATGTTTCCTGTAGTTATTTAATTCCTCTTTTCACACTGTTAGTGTACAGTTTTACTATTGTGCTGCTGTGTTTAAAGTATTTTTGTAACTCTTATCTTATCTTCTCTGATGATACGATGTGATATGAATCTGAGCTTAGCTTCATGCCTCAGGAAACTATGTTAGCGGTGGCGGTTCTAGACCCGTTTGACTCGGGGGGCCAGGCGGGGGCCAGTTATTTTCTGAGAGGGGCACAATGCAGGACCAAAAAGACAAAGACAGTATGAAGTAATTGCATAAGAAAACAATGCAATATTGGTACACGTATTTATTTCAGATACTTATAGTTACAGTTGTTACGCTCTAATGGGTCCGACTAGAATGCTAAATAACGTTAGTTCCGCCTATTCCGTCAGCCAATAAATCGTTTAATCATAAACTTGTCATTTTCAGGGGGGCCACAGGGGGGTCCAAAGTCAGTGTTACTCACACCCCCCCCCCCCTGCATGTCAGGTAAACACAGAGTAGGAGTGAAGGTGTTCTCCAGGTGTTTGTTTAACGGCGTCGGGAAGGTAAAGAGAGGAAATACTGTGTGAATGTTTAACCTTCACTTTAATATGATATACAACAGAGACAAGTGTGAATGTTTAACCAACGAGGAACAGAAAATGTTTTGGGGTCAACAAAGCAGATCTGAGCTCCAGCATGAGGGTTACCCCTAACACCCTAACATAATGAAACATGCTCAGACACTGATTTGATGAGAAATATCTTCTTTTGTAAGTGCAGTATCCAAAGATATTCATTTGTATATGATATACAACAGAGAAAAGTACAAATATATGCAAATCTGAGATAAAAAAAACTGCCAGATTTGCATAAAAAGTACAACATTTCCCAATCTGAGACGTATGCATCCACCTAAATGAGCGTTAAATCTGCCATTAGCTTAGCGTTGGTTGCGCTAAAGTCATGTTTACCGTGTACTGTTTAACAAAAGGGTTTTCAGGTAAAGAGAGGAAATACTGTGTGAATGTTTAACCTTCACTTTAATATGATATACAACAGAGAAAAGTAAAAATATGCAAATCTGAGATAAAAAATTGCCAGTTTTGTGTAATAAAAAAAAAAAATGTCCATCAATAAAATCCATTCATCCATTTATTTAAGCATCCATTCCTTCTATGTACCCATCCATATGTTCCATACTTCAATGAGGCATAAGTCTGCCGTTTACTGTGCTATATTTCTTTATCAATATATCCTTTTTTTGATGGTCTTCATTGTTGTTCCAAAGGAAATGGAGGGTATCATTAACATTTGGTGTCACAGAGTTTTCTTCTTGAACAATCTGAAATCACACAGATGTTTTTTTGTGGAGGAAACCAGACTAACTTGTAAGTTGCCTTTCCAAATGTCAAAAAACGAAGTCCCTGCAGCTCTGTTTTGGTTCCTACATGTTGGTTGAGATGCTCTTTAAAACTGGACGTTCCTCTTGTTGTTAAACAGTCGCAGGTTTTATTGGTTTAAAGTGCACAAAGCTCTGCTGCTTCACACCGGATCCAAACACGTCCCAAAGCCTTTTTACATTCCTCAGTTTCACGGAGACAAAGCTCCTGTCTTTACTCCTTTCCAGGCTGTAAGGTGACACTGCTGCTTTCCTCCTGCTTCTACTCCGCTCTCCACCTTTTCTCCTCCCATCGGTCTGACGGAGAGGAAGGAGAAGGGGCTGAAATCAGAGCTGGGAGGTGGAGGAGTTTCTGTTTGTGGGCGAGGAAGAGGAGGAAGAAGGAAAGGAGGGCAGCGACAGAGGGTGAAGAACTGGGACTAAAGTCTTTGAGAAAAGAGAAAAGAGCCGTGGAGGTTATTGTCTGAGAAAGAGGAGGATTAGCTGAACCTGGACGTATGAGCACATGTTGAGATCGACCTGGAAAGGAAATGTGAACTCAGGACGTCAGAGAAAAGGTCGGTTTGAGTTCCCTGAAGCTCTTAGTGTTTCTGCTTTAGAGTACGTTTGATTTTCTATTCAGACTTTTAAAGTAAGAAGGAGTCAGACGGCTGTGAGGAGCTGCACTTGGACTTGTGAGCACACGTTTAGATCCAAGCAGGAGAGAAAACAGGGCAAAGGTCTCTGAGCTGTGTGTGTGTGAGTTTCCTGAAGCTTTCAGTGTTTCTGCTGTCGTGTACGTTTCACTTCCTGCACTTAAAGACTGTGAGGACGAGGAGGAGTGGATGAAATGTGTGTTTGTAGAACAGTTATGGGGTCAAATAGCTCAAGCTAAATGCACGTAAAGTATCAGAAGTGCAGGTACTTGCAGGATGCAGAATATCTCTTCTCTCAGGAGTATATCGCAGGATATTATTGTAGAATAAAGTAAAGTATTAGTATCTGTATTACACATGTTTAGATCGAAGCAGGAGAGAAAACAGGGCAAAGGTCTCTGAGCTTTATGTGTGTGTGCTTACCGAAGCTTTAAGTGTTTCTGCTGTCGTGTACGTTTCAGTTCCTGCAGACTTAAGGACTGTGAGGAAGAGGCGTGGATGAAATGTGTGTTTGTAGAACAGCTATGGGGTCAAATAACTCAAGCAAAATGCACGTAAAGTATCAGAAGTGCAGGTACTTGCAGGATGCAGAATATCTCTTTTCACAGGAGTATATTGTAGGTTATTATTGTAGAATAAGGTCATATATTAGTGTCTATATTACACAAGTGTTTTAATCTTGTAGGATGTCATGTGGATCCAATTGAAATCCTTTTCCTAAAATGCTGTGTGGATACGTTAAAGGTGTCGCAAAAAGAGGTAACATTGTTATATTTAAAAACATCATAACCAAATATTCCTACACTTCTCTTTTGACCAGAGAACTTAATATTATAGTACTTGAGAAAATACTTCCCACCATGGTTTGAAACAACCGTACCTTGGTTGCTGATTGGCTAATGGTTACACAAGACAAGACATCGTTATGACATCACAAAGTGGCCGAAATCTGATCAGCTCATTTTCAGACAGGTTTTTATAAAAATGGATCAGGACAAAAAGAGAGAGAATCTTTGTTCCTGAAACTTTCAGAGTCTCTTTACACAGAGGGGACACATGTTGATGTAGAAGAGACATGAAGAAGAGGGGACACATGTTGATGTAGAAGAGACATGAAGAAGAGGGGACACATGTTGATGTAGAAGAGACATGAAGAAGAGGGGACACATGTTGATGTAGAAGAGACATGAAGAAGAGGGGACACATGTTGATGTAGAAGAGACATGAAGAAGAGGGGACACATGTTGATGTAGAAGAGACATGAAGAAGAGGGGACACATGTTGATGTAGAAGAGACATGAAGAAGAGGGGACACATGTTGATGTAGAAGAGACATGGAGAAGAGGGGACACATGTTGATGTAGAAGAGACATGAAGAAGAGGGGACACATGTTGATGTAGAAGAGACATGGAGAAGAGGGGACACATGTTGATGTAGAAGAGACATGAAGAAGAGGGGACACATGTTGATGTAGAGAGACATGGAGAAGAGGGGACACATGTTGATGTAGAAGGGGGGACACATGTTGATGTAGAAGAGACATGAAGAAGAGGGGACACATGTTGATGTAGAAGAGACATGAAGAAGAGGGGACACATGTTGATGTAGAAGAGACATGAAGAAGAGGGGACACGTGTTGATGTAGAAGAGACATGAAGAAGAGGGGACACGTGTTGATGTAGAAGAGACATGAAGAAGTGGATTTTGCATGATAGGTGACCTTTAAAATGTTCAGGTTTTCAGATATTTGTCTCCACTTCATCAGAGAGTCAGCGTATTTACTTTGAAACAGTGAGTGTTGTGGAGTTTTTAAAATGCTCTGAGCCGCACAAATGCTACCGCGTTGACCTTTATTAGATCGGGGGGTTTCTAAGGTCGTTATTTCCAAACCTCGGTGCAACATCAGCTTCACCTGCAACCAAACTGTGCAGAGATCAGCCGAGTGAAACAACACATACAATAATAACAATAATGTCTCATGCACCAATGTCTCTGAATGCTGTTTCCAGACTCTCTTATCTGCAGATTTGATGTTTTACTGTTTTATATTAAAGTGAATATCCATTTAATCACATGATCGTAGACTCTGAGAAACTGGGACGCACATATTTTATAGTCTTTTTGACATTTATTATATTTTTGCAGCCCTATTTCTAATATCTATGCATATACTTTGCAAATACGTATTATTTCCCCAAAATAAATATGGCTAAACACGCAGTTATATTCTGTAAGGCTGCATAATAACCCTTATCATTTACTTTAAAACATACACACAGTTGTATTTAAAGGGTCGAAACTCACAATGCTAACACTAACTCTTAACCAGGATGGAAACTGACCATTATTTTTGTTATTGATTCATATTTTTCTGTATCAAAATGTGAATAAATAGTAAAAAATCCACTGAAAAGTCCCAAGTGATGTCTTTAAATGTCTGCTTTTGTCACTCCAAATCCAAAATATATGCAGTTTTGTATTTTAAAGAGAGCTCATGCACAATACTGTGAACCCTGCACGTGTTCTGTTTAATGCGACACATATTTGATTATTTTAAAAGTATTTGTCTCATACTTCTATTAACTTTCTTTGTATATCATATTGTACTAATTTATTGTAAATATTATTTTTATTTTTCACATTTTATTGAAAATTTCTTATAATATTTCTATATTTTTTTTACAACTTAATTATGCAGGTGTGTGTGTGTGTGTGTGTGTGTGTGTGTGTGTGTGTGTGTGTGTGTGTGTGTGTGTGTGTGTGTGTGTGTGTGTTAGCTTCCCTAGAGCAAGTGGTGAATAACTCGTAGTATGTAAAGAGCTTTGAGGGGTCGAGAAGACCTGATTAAGACATTTATAGGTACAGAACATTTAATAACATTTGTGACATATAACGAGGATCAAAGCTGACTAACTCCATTGTTACACATATCTTCATCTAATTGACTTTAATAAATCCAGATACATATATGTATTTGAGCAGCAGTGGATATGTGGTTTGTGCAGAGAGTGAAACAGGTCCTGGTTCCTCAGACAGAGAGTATCATTGTGATTCCTGTGAGAGTGAAGGCTGCTGGGAAATGAAATGAAAAGGTCGTCCGGTCACTAATCCCACCTCAGCTTACTCTGATAAAACACAAAGAAACACACACACACACACACACACACACACACACACACACACACACACACACACACACACACACACACACACACACACACACACATACACACACACACACACACACACACACACACACACACACACACACATACACACACACACACACACACACACACACACACACACACACACACGTGACCTCAGTGGATTAAGTCGAGCTCGCCTCTTTGACCTGAAGGCATCAAACATCACAAGAGCATAAACTCACAATAAAACGCCGGAAGAGATTATGTTTTCCTGTTCTCATTTACTCGTTTTCAGTATTTTTATTTTAAAATATCTATCTATTCATCTATCTATCTATCTATCTATCTATCTATCTATCTATCTATCTATCTATCTATCTATCTATCTATCTATCTATCTATCTATCTATCTATCTATCTATCTATCTATCTATCTATCTATCTATCTATCCATCCATCTATCTATCTATCTATCTATCTATCTATCTATCTATCTATCTATCTATCTATCTATCTATCTATCTATGTATATCTTGTTTAAAAAGTGTCTTTATTTGTATTTGTTACAAGAGTCTTGAAATAGCTTTTAAAATATATTTTATAACAATACTATTTTTTGCGAGAAAAACATTTTTTTTATTTACTCCAAACAACCAACTACTTGTATACACTGGAAACAAAATACTGCTCCAAAAACAAGTGAAATAATGACAAAAACAAGGTGTTTACGCTCGTAATAAGTAAACAAATCTGCCAATAGAACAAGTGAACATTTTAAGATTTATTGTAATAAGATGGGATATTTAGATAAATCAGATCTTGTTATTAGCTGGGAAATCTTATTTTGATCAGGAAATGTTGTGATACAAAATAAGCAAGAAATGCTCAAAGGTTTCAGTTTTCTGTGGGTAGTTGGTGATTTTCCAATAAAAAATTGTATTTATAAAATCTAATTTAATGTTTTTCTTGAGACAAGATGATCCCAAATACCACAGCAGCTTAAAAACCTTAAAAACAAAGATATATTGTCTTAAAACCAGACCCTATATCTCACTGCATTGATACCTCTTAAGTTATTATGTTTAATATCAAATGTAAAGACATAATCGGTCTAGAAATTACACAAATATAACTGGCAAGATTTCAAGTTTTTGCAGTGTGTGTTTCATATTTTGTCATTAATATTTCTTGAACTTACAATACGAGAAATCCCATCGAGATGCTGCCTTAGGGGTCGGCCTCAATTTAGTTGACACTGCATACAGTAAAACTGAGTGTGAAAGGGACAGAGTGTAATATAGGGTGAAGTCAACACCCAATTGTAAACAGTGATTATTTTCTTTTTACACGCACACACACGTGCGTCAGTTTCCCAGAAGCCTTCATGTTTCCTCTGGAGGAATGTGAGCGGTGTGCACACACACTCATAGAAAAACATGAAAACACTAATGTGACGCTCGCCTGCCGGGCATGAAGGAGCTTACATTAACAGATGAGAAGACGCTAATTAGATTACAGAGTGTGAACACGGTGTGTGTGTGTGTGTGTGTGTGTGTGTGTGTGTGTGTGTGTGTGTGTGTGTGTGTGTGTGTGTGTGTGTGTGTGTGTGTGTGTGTGTGTGTGTGAAGACAGTTTGTTTACAGCGGATTGTCTTTATGACGCTTCCATAGAAAACAGAATTATCTTCAATGTCATAGAGATGCACAGCTGTGTGTTTGCTGACAAACACTTATAAACAGACATCATATATTTATTAAATGATGTTTTAATAT